AAAAAAAAAACAAATCAAAGAGTTAGTCCAAAATGAGATGCCATTAAAAGTTAGCAAAATGAAATAAACTGCTAAAAGATGGCACTGCATTAAATTTTTTGCCCGAAAATGATTTGGTGTGAAATCACTAAGAAAACTCGAACAAAACACAAACGAAATAATCTTAAAATAAGTGACACAATGTGACCACAGTAGGCAGCACTGGACCAGCATCTCTTAAAAGTCAGTTTTTCTCTTTGAACCTTTTGTGATGGAGGAGTGACTGGTACCTAACCTGTGTTCCTAATGACATGGTCTGTTTGACAGGAAGTCAAAGACTTCCATGGACGAATGGAAAGATGGGCAAAATAATGGACTGTAGTTTTGGTCAGACGCCAACAGAGATGGATTTTGAGTCAAATAGATCTTAATTTGTCAGATTTGGAGAAGAGAGGAGGAGGGAATGGGACCTGATGGTGATGGAGGAGGAGGAGTTGAGTTGTTTTGATCAGGTTTAAAATGGGAGAAATTGCTTTTTTCTTACATCACTTTGTTTGATAAAAATTACATTAGTAATGTGTGTGTGTGTGATGGGGTGTGTGTGTGTGTGTCAGTCAGTAAACATGATGAATAATGTATATGACCCTGACGTTTAGCCATTAGGAAAAAAAAGGAATGTTTTGATTCCCTCAACGTTCCTAAACAAATACATTTGACCAGGAACGGAATAGACATTAATACAAATGAGGAAAGAGACGGAGAGGAGAGGAGAGGGACGAGAGAGAGAAAAAGTGGAGAAAAGGGGAGAGGGAGGTGGAAAGGAGAGAGAGTGAGAGTATGGGAATGAAAATGTGTTGATAAAGAAAGGAAAAACAACATCACAGAAGAATAACAGGAAACAATAATGTGTGTGTGTGTGTGAGGGAGGGGGAGAGAGAGAGATAGAGGGAGGGAGGTCATGGTGAGGCTGGAGAGGGAGAAGTTCAGTGAGAGGTGAAATACTAAAAAAGAAAGTTCTGGGTGAATCCAGGGTCAGGAGTGTCTGTGTGCAAGTGTGTGTGTCTGTATGTGTGTGTAGATAAATGAGTGTGTGTGTGGAGGACGTGCTCTCAGCTGGTGGATTCTCCATCTGTCTTAGTTTTTTCCTGGAGAGCTCATGTTTTCCTCCTGTCCTGGAATAAAACCTTTCCATCAGTCAGACCTAACTTTTCATCCTTATCCTGGTCCCAGGACTACCGCTCCTCTAGGAGCTAATATACGCTGTCCTTCTGCTTAGCTAAAGGTTAGCTCAGATGCTATTTTTGTTTTCTGGTCAGCCAGCCAAAGTAATAACTCTTATTGTTTCCTGTCTTGACTACAGTTACTGGAACTGTTCACTCAGTGGGACTGGTCCACCTTCCTGGCCGACTATGGAAAACCCACCTGTAAATACCTGAGAGTCAACCCTCACACAGCACTCACCCTGCTGGAAAAGTAAGAAACTGCACCTCCCCACACTCCCTTAATTCTTTCTTATGCAATGTCACCACTTCTGTCATGATAACATTTAAACTAAGCTGTGATGAAGAAGAAAGTGTTCTTCAAATATCGGAACTCATTTTCACCTTTCTCTCTGGGAATATATGAAAATATAGAAACAACAAAAACAAAAAGAAAAAAAAAGATTCAAACTCGTCTACACCGAGAAACTCGTCTGCAGCAAAAATTTGAAAATGGGATGTTTGAACATACAGTGTATAATTGTAAACACGAGTTCTTATCCTGCTCTTCATCCTCTTTCATTTGACAGGTTATTGAAGCCGTGAGTAGTTCCTAGTGTGTGCATGTGTGTGAGCCTGTGTGTTTCTGCGTGTGTTTTTTGGCATGTGTATTTTTCTGACTAATGTAAAATGTGAGGACACCAGACAATGAACTAATGAATACTCACTTTGATACGGTGTATATTTCAGTTATAACAACTATGATGTGAAATATACTTTGACACACACATTAATGGAATCTTTAGAAATGTTTAATGAAAAACTTTTATACTCAAACACACTCTTTTTTGACCTCCAGGATGAAGGAGAGCAGCAGGAGGAGCACAGTCTTCGCTCAGTTTAAGAAGACGGACAGAGATCGGCAGAAGCTCATCGACACGGTGGTCAAGCAGCTCAGGAACCTCATCTCTCAGCAGCACTCCTAAATGGCCGACTCCCAACCATGTGACTGCCCCAGAAGTTGAGAACATGCACCTTAACACTGAGCAAAATCAGTCTGGATCACTGGGCCGAAACACTGGGCTGAACAATCAGTTAAACAGTTCCACAACCATGCATCAAACCCAGCCCATCAGAAAAGTGTTTGAGTTCTGATCTAACTTTGTGGATGTTGTTCTTCTGACGGCTTGGCTGAACACCTTTCAGAGTTTTCACAATTTTTTTCACATTTTTTGATCAACATTTAGCTTCACTTTACTAACAGCTGCCAAGTTACTGCTTCATACTTTATTTGATTGGGCTTCTCCTCAAATGTAACATTTTTTTCCTCAGTTCTTCTGTATTGGAGCATCACTGAAGAAGAACATCATCCTAACAGATGTTTTCTAATCTCACACATATTTTAAGAGGTTTTTTAGGCCTAAAGTTCCACCTTACCAACTAGTCTGAAACAGGAACTTGTGGTGTAAAATCTACCATATCTTCCATAAGTTTTGTAAAGTAAAAGCACAGGGATACTTTTATTTTGAAGGTCACGTGAGCAGTTTTCCCTTAATGTTAACCTTTTATTTTTATTTTTGTTAGGTGCAATTTTACTATTGGAGTTTACTATGGGAGTGCTATGCACAGGTGTGTAATAAAGGGATGCAAATGCAACAATTGAGTGTGTGCACTGTTGGATCAAGCTGTACGCTGATGATATGTGTCCATGTATTATTAAAGATATTAGGAAAAACAAGGGAAAATGGTTGCTGGTGTTAAAAGTGCCTTTGCTGTATTTTGTTAGAGAAACACCAACGACCCTGACACATGCTGGAAGAATCAGTAAGATTTAACTGTTCACTTTACCATTCAAAAGTCCTTAGAGCGAATGAGTGATTTCATTTGAAAACATTCAGTGACTAATTCCTGGCCCTACCAGTAATTTGAATGTGTTCTTCTGTAAATTAAACATAAAAATGATGACACTCAAATTCACTTGAATTACACAAACTGACAACAGAAAGCAGCAGTCGGCCATCAGCTGATGTTCACTGTGAGCTAAATCACTGATTTTTCCAGCTCTCCTGGTCTTGATGCCACTTTGTTTAGTTGATGTTTCTGGGGGTTTTTTTTGTTTGTTTTTTTTTTGTGAAATGTTTTTGGACAGATGCACTGTATTTGATGTTACATTAAATTCACTAACACTTCAGAGGAATACAATATAAATAAAGGTACTGTTTGTAAACAGTCACAAATACCTGATCACTATTTTTGTGTTTGAAACCTTTTTGTCACCAAGGTCTGGCATAACAAACACAAAGTGACACAAACTTTCCTTTGGAGTTTTCTGGTACTCTGTAAATTCAGAGTTTTTTGCAGGTATCACAGTGCAGTGCATGTTTTTAGAAATGTATTTCTAGAATCTTTCTAGAAAGATGTAATCATTACTGCTCACATCTTACTTAGATTACTTTACTGGCCCAAACAAATGTCTACCTCCAGCTCTGCAACTTTGGTTGTTTGGTCACGGCCTCTCCCACATATGACCAAACACTGCATGACGTGAAGACATGGCCCTAGGAGTAACCTAGTGAAAAAAGAAAAACAGAAATCAATGTATCCATCAACAAAAGGAAGTCTTGATAGACAGAAGCTGTGAAAGTTCAACTGAAAAAATGTAAATAAATATTCAGCAATAAATATTCAAAGCACTGAACCTAGACTTACTAGTATGAACTTCATTCTCTCTGACTGTGGGTTGGGCTATTCAAAAAATAGTGAAGACAGATTGGTGCAAGTGAAATGGGGTGCTCTGGGAACACCCCCATTAGCACTTTGGTACTTTTCTCAAGATGTAATTTTCACACACACACACACAATATATATATA